ACTATCTCCACACCCTCCCACACCCTCCACACCCCTTGTGATACTGTGAATTCTTAAAAAAGGGTCACTGCTGTGAAGGACAATGTGTAAAAGTTATGCGAGAGCACAAACAAGTACAAAAAATAATATCAATCTCAACTTACTGTTTTGTTTTGTTTTTTTCACTTAAAAACAGTGTGTTTTTTTCATACCAAGTGGATACTACTTTTCTAAATATCTCAACTTATCCTTTCACTTAAGTTTATTTCCGAGTATACTTTGAATGTGTAAGAGGCTACAGCTCCATTTTAAATATTGGTCAAAAATCCATATAACTAACTGTTCTCCAAATAAACAACTCTAAAAAAAATATACAATTCTTAAAGAGTAGATAAATCTGAAAATTTGGTAAAACCAAAATAAAGGAGACCTACCTAAAAACTTACATTTAAAATTTAAAACAGACTACAGCTCAAACACATATTAGCACAAATTTGTACCTTTGGTGGACTATTAGAAACAACTTTTCTACTGAAGAATATGGTGTTTACTTAGCAACAATGAAGAATACAATTATCTTGAGAAACAAAATGTTGAATTTTTTTAAGAGTTGTGTATTTTCCAGAGATCAGCTGGCTAATGACTATCAATCTAATATCTACTAGGATCCATTGAGGTTAGAACACAGATATGAATAATATTCAGAGGAAACTCACCATAAATTTAAAAGTAGATAATAGACCTATTAAGAAAACTAAATTAAAAAAATACAGTTATAAGATCAAATACTAGCAACGATGTGGGGAAAAATTGCATCCCTCAGACACTGCTTGAGGAAATGTAAAATGCTACAACCAGTCTGGAAAATAGATTGGCAATTTCTTACAAAACTGTACATAAACTGACAATTTGAATCATCAAATGTACTTCTGAGCATTTATTCCAAGGAAATGAATACTTATGCTTATGGGAGAACCTGTGCATAGACACTAATAGAAGCTTTCTTCCTAATAGAAAAGTACTATTCCTAACAGCAAAGAATGGTCAACCCAATTCTAATACATACCATGTATTAATGCTGAGCAGTATGATATACTGCTCAGCATTAATACATGTGGTACTTGGATGGTCATCTTGGGTAACCTGCTCAGTTTAAAAAAAAGTAAAGCTAAAATGATTATATACTATTACATGATTCTTTTTAAATAACATTTTTAAAATGACGAAATTATAGAGATGAAAAAGAGATCAGTGGCAATACATTGCCAGGTGACAGGACAGAGAGTGAGTGGAGATAGCATAAGGTACTCCTTTTCTGATGATGGAAAAGTTAGGTATGTCAATTGTGGTGGCATTAGAAAAATCTATATATCAGGTAAAATTTCATAGAAGTGTACATACACACGCAGACTATATATGTGTGCATGTGTGTGTGTGAATATATATATATATATATGAATGCAAGATAAACAAAATCATGAAATGTACCAATTTCAGTTTATTCATTGTGATATTGTACTATAACTATATGAGACATTGCCATTGAGGAAAGGTGAGGGAAGGTCACCCAGGACTCTACTGTTTTTGCAACTTCTTGTGAGTCTATATTGATTTGAAAAATAAAAAGATTTTTAAGCAGGAATAACATAATTTTAAAACACTATTAATCATTTTTTAATAAGGTATATATATATGTGTCCTTATTCCTCCATTGCCCCCCAATCCCTCACTCATGCCCTCACCCCTCTGTTGTCTGTGTCCATTGGTTAGACTTGTATGCATGTATACAAACAAGTCCTTTGGTTGATCTATACCCCTTACCTCCACCCTCCCCTACCTCTCCTTTTATCCCTTCACACAATTGGCATTTAAAACAACCTTCTTTTCAGAAACTTACTTCTAAAAGTCTTAATTGTGTATGAGGATTTTTTAAAATTTTAATCTAAGCAGGCAGCTGTGTCAATTCAAAAATACTATGGTCTGTGAACATTAAAGCTTCAACTTTGATCCTCCACTCTCGATTTTCTTTTTCAAATGCCTTTTATTTGACCAGGAAGGATGTCATTTCCAAAAGTACTGAGAGAGCCACATTTAACTTGAACAACATTGTTCTTTTAGGTTATTAAGGCTGTTCAATTTTCTGTTGCTTGCTACCCTGATTGGAGGCTCTTCTTAAATGTCAGACTGAGAAAATTGCACTGGTTCCAACACAATAAAAAAATAAAAATAAAAAAGCAGACCTTTTGAATTAATGCAATCAATAACCTTTGAAAGCAAAGTTAAAAAGCAACAACAATTGAATGTTAGATGCACAAACCTATCTTGTTCTTTATTTCCCTTTCAATATCAATATGGCCAAGAAACTGGGGAAACACAACAGAGAGTTCAATTCAGAAAGCACTTATTAAGCACCTAAGTCATAATCGTAAAACCTTACAATGATGTGCATTATCTTACAGAGTGGTGCAGGTTATAATGATGAAACAGAGTCCACAATGTCCATGAGGTCTTAAATTTACATCCCAAATATTGACCACTGCTCCAGATTTTACCCTGGCACACCGAGTGAGAAGAAGAAAAGCATTATATAACATCAATGGCAAGAAAGCCAAAAATCCAACAGTTAAAGAAAGAAATTACTTAGTCAGCTCATGAAAATCAGTACTGGTTGGTCTCTGGAGAAGGATGTCAGGGTCAAGAGAGAAACTGGAAGACTGTGGAAAATCAAATCCTGTGCACAAAAATTTCTAAGACTAACAGCATGCCAAATAAGTAAAATGTATAAAATGTTGGAATTCCACATTGACTCTGTATGGGAAATACAGAATATTTTCTGTGAATGGCATGGAATACATGTAGATGAAAGAAATTTTTAAAGCAATACTGCTCAATTGTGGATAAAGTTTGTCATTTTCAACGAAATAACCCATCCAAGGGTGATTATGTTGACACTAATGTATGTTCAGAAGTCGCTACAATCCTTACTTTTGTTTTTTGTTCTCCCTTGTTCTTGTTTTATTGTTGGAAAATAAATTTTAGAATTAATGGTATTAAAACATTCTCTAAATATTTTTATAAAGAAAGGTTACTTATATTTTACTTCACTTGTTTGATTTGGAGTACATAATGAACTAATTTTCTATCAGGTTAATCATGTTAATTCTACTTTATTAAAGCCAACATTAAATTACCAGGGAAAGTAAAAATCAACCTTATTTCTTACTTACTCTTATGAAGTGCGTAAGAAATGAGGTTGATTAATGGATGAATAAAAGGATGGATAGATGTCAGAAAAAGCAGTTGTAGGAAATCCTAAATGTACAGGAGTGGGAATATTGCTGTTTACTTTTCTATATGTTAGAAAATTGTCATATGTTTTGGGAAACTGTAAAAAAACAAAAAGGATAATTAGAACTTTCATTGCCCAACTCTTCATTTCCTGAATAATGTATTGGGGACTGTGTCAGTACACAACATCAAGTCAAGAAAGTGTTACAAAAAACCAAAACCCTGCACTGAGAACTTCCAATGTGGATTCTAGACAAAAGGATGAAGTGACTGAGATTAACTGCAGTTGTTGAAAGTTTCCATTTATGAAGAAGCATCTGAATGTTCTGGAGATGCCACCTGCAGGCCCAAATCTACTTGATAAGACTGAAACGCCTCCCAAGATCTTGGTCCAAGTGATACAAGCTAGGCTTAGTCTCAGATATAGAACACAAGAACTGCAACATATAATTACTTCATTTAAATACCAAAATTATGTGGAACCAACCAAATAAATCTGAAAACAATGTTTGTGTCTAAATCATAGAAAAGAGCTTTTATGATTTTTTTGTTGTTGTTGAAGGTGGTGGTCCATACTGTATTAAGTATTCTTTCCATTTGAAGTCAAAGCAAATTTTTCAATGAGGCTAAAAAGGGCCTCATCTCTACTAATAAAAGGGTAATATGCTAATTAGACTGGACATCCTTCCAGCTTAAGCCACAGTGGCGGGAGCCCAGCCAGAGGCTGTTAGGGGTGATCAGGCTGACAGGGGAGAGCAGTAGGGGGCCACCAGGTTGGCAGGGGAGAGCAGTTAGGGAACACCAGGCTGGCAGGCAGAGGTGGTTAGAGGTGATTAGGCTGGCAGTCTGAGATGGTTCAAGCAGGCAGGCAGGTGAGCAGTTAGGATCCAAGGGTCCCGGACTAGGAGAAGGATGTCCTGTATTGGAGAGGGTGCTGGCTGGGCTGAGGGACCTCCGTTGCCCCGTGAATGAATTTCATGCACTGGGCCTCTAGTTGGCTTATAATTGATTAACTTAGGATGAAGCAGGCTGTTTCCTTGTTCAAGGCAAATAACACTCATTGTCAGTTGATTAGTAGCTCCTCTGAATTACTGCAGGGTTTTTTCACATTCAACACTGGATCCATTTTCCATGGAATTCCAGAACTGCCAAGTTTGAGAGGCCTGAAGCCAGGCAGTTCCATTGCTTGTAAGCAGGGCTGCACCTCAGAAATCCCAGACAAGTTGATATTGATCCTTTTTTAAAAAGTTATGTATGAAGGAGGCATATCTGGCAGCCTCCTTTAGAGCCAGGATCAAATAGCCAGTTGGAAAATTGTCTAAAGGTGCTACATTAAACTTTAATAATACCTACATTTTTATTGGAGCTTTTAACTTTGTAAATTGCTTTCCCATGCATTATCTCATTTCATGTTCTGTTGTAATGAAATAGTGTCTAGGTTTTTAGGGCTGAATTACAGTGACATAGATATCAACATGTTGATGGGGGCATTTCAAGAAAAATGATTATAACTATGCTGAACAGAAGTATTTAACAAGAATCACTGGCTTCAAGATCAGGTATCACAAAGGGTTAAGAATCTAATGGTCTTTTAACCCTATGTTCTAATGCTAGAGGTTTACCAGAACCATCTCACCAATTTTTTTTTAAAGAATGAAATGAATTACATCTTTTTTCTTCCTCCCTTCCACCTTCTTATTTATGATTTTCTATTCTCTTTAATGTATCTCCAGGTCAGCCCCACCCCAGGGTGCATCCGTGCTCTCATGAAGATGCTGTATTGCCCGTACTGTCGAGGACTCCCCACCGTGCGACCCTGCAACAACTACTGCCTCAATGTCATGAAGGGCTGTCTGGCAAACCAGGCGGATCTGGACACCGAGTGGAACCTGTTTATAGGTAAGGAGCATGTGAACTCATCCGGAAACAGAAATGTGGGGGTCCATCTGATGGCAGGTTCAGAGTTGGGATGACTTGTGGATACTACAAGGATGTTTAAAAAACACAAAACAAAACAGCATTTGACAACATATAAACATCATTCTGCAGGTTCCTTCTTGTTTCATTCTAAAAAGTACGACTTCCTTGTATATGGTGAAGGATGATCCTGTTAAAGATGGTACAAGACAACTGTGTTGAGTTAGCTGATGTTCTTGAGAAGATGAAAGTAGCCTTGTAGCATTTCGGGGAGCGTTAGGAAAGATTCTCATAAAAGAAATCCACAGTACTGTGTCTTTTCTTGTTTATATTACCTCGGTGTAATCTTGGGTACACAGCCATTGTAATCGAATGGGAGGAGATTTTGTTCCCTACACCCTCCCCCCACTCCTCTCTAACACAGCAGAGTCAAACACTGGCGCTGTTTTGCAATGGGAAAACTTGATTGTTTTATTTGCAGAGCACTAAGCTAGGAGAACAGGAAGCCCTGTGGCTTAAAGCCTGAACTCCCTGACAATGTACAATGGAAGGGTTTAAGTAGTTAAACGCTGGTGGAGTGATTTTTAAGGCCGGACCTTGGAATTCGGTCATTTATGGTAAGGGACTCTTCCTGGGCAGTGGACCCTTTGCTCTGGAAAGGTCCAGTATTCCAGTTCTGGTCATGTCCCCATCCCATGGTTCCTGGGGGGTGAGTGGGGAGATGAGTTGGGCCCTGGGCAGGGAGAGGACAGGGTGGTACAGGTGAGTGCTGTCTCTGTAAAAGAACTCAAGTACGGTATTAATCCCCATCTGCTTTGAGGGAGCGGAACCATTTCTAAGCTGTTCTATGTGATTTATGTGCTGTTTCAATATTAGTAAACAACTCCTTCCTTAAACATCTGTGATGAAAATAGCTCAATATTGTTGGTAAAATATGCAAATTTCCTTCCACTTTCTGTATAAAAAGAATGTTCCAAGCACACAGCCATGAATCAGCCTCCCAGCCTGTAGAAGGTGGGAGGAAAGGAGGTGGGGAAGGTTTGGGGAAGGGCTATGAATCATGGCTCACGCCTTAAGTTGCAGAAATCATTCAGGCTTTGCGCTGCCAAAGGATATTTCCCAACTAGCTATCCAAGGATAAAAGGACACATTTCATAGGCAGGCTTCTCCCAGGAAAACGCACAGGCCTTGAAAGAGTAAATGTATTTCCTCTCTCCTCTGTCAAATGGCTTTCAAATAAAAGCACTTTCAATTGCATTTACTGCAATTGCAAGGTGACAAGCAGTGTGGTGCAAATAACACTGGCACTTGCCAGCCTCAGAGGGCCTTCATCACTTATGCAAACCTCTAAGCCAGAATGCAGGAGGAGAGTCTTCTGACATCTTAGATTTGAGCAGGAGAGGAAAAGAGCTAAGACGTGTTGGAATACAGAACACCCTAAGCACGCTGTGCAAAAAAAGATGTGCTACTGTAAGTTACAGGCATTCAGCTTTGGCAGGGAAACCCATTGGCTAAAGCTTTCTTTTGCCTCGAAAGGCCAGAGAAAATGGTTTTGAAGTTTTGTAAAAATGACTTGAGAGTGGGTAGATTCAAATGGAAGTCATCTAACAAAAAACGCAGAAATCATCTTGGAGAGAATACATTGAAATGCTGTTCTCGCCTTTTGGGAGGGCAAAATCTGCTTTTATGATCTTGGGTTACTTAATTTGAAAAATTTGGGAGGTTTTTTTTTAAGTTAATTATTCAGGTACCCTTCTAATGCAGAAATGACATTTTTTTGCTAAGATTTTGGAGGCGGGTATGAATAAAAAAAGTAATCAGAATAAACTCAAATCTTCTAAAATATTCATGTAGATTAATTTTGGCAGACACTCTACCCAAGTAACGCTAATAAAAATATACTCTCATCAAGAAATCTAAAAATATTTGCATATTTTAAAAACCAGACTAAACTGTATAGCATCCATTTTGAGTTGTAAAGACTATTCAGACATTTGGGTTGAAACTGCCTAATTCATAGCACAGTTTAATTGTAATTGGTCGGCCTGCAACTTATTGACGGGAATGGACATGTGGATTTTGTTACTTAGAGCAAGACATGATTAAGGATGATAATATGGGCTTCTTAACTTGTAAGATCAACAGTGACTTCTTAATTGGCTTTTTTTCTCGGTGCTGGTTGGGTATTTCGATGTACAACAAATCCTTAAACTTTTAGTCAATCAAGTTTCCTAGAATCCAATTTGATGTGTAACTTAAGGTCTGGAAAACCAAAAGTGGAACCCACCAAGTGTTCTCATGAGAAGAAAACCTAGTGGTTAGTCATACATGAATATGTATTCATACTCAGTTTTTGCCTATCTCGTTTTCTTTATCAGTGCTAGAGATATTTGATTAAGTTCTTTCAGGTGTTTTGTTTTTTGTTTTGTTTTTTTCTCTTCAGATTTTGCTATGGCATTGAGAATTGACCACCAACATAGACTCATGAGGCAAAATATGTTCTTGCTAATACTTGTCCTGATGTGAAGCATTGCTTCACAAATTTATCACAGAAATTAGTCAAATATGTCAAATCCATTTTCCACACAGATATATTCAAGATGACAGCGTTACAGTGTTCATGAATGCAGCAGCCAAGATCAGCGAGCAAATTGGTGCTCCAACAAAAGTTATATATAATAGCTCTCCCTTTGGTTAGCACCTGCAGGCCATCACTCTTGGGTGTCTAGCATCATTTCATCAACCTTTCACTTTTCTTGCTGTCAATTGCATGAGGCATTTTTGCCATTTTATACATCTTATAGGTTGTTTTTATTATGTGCTCATCAAAAAATATTAACAGCGGGGGAAAAAAAAACATATTAACAACAACATGCAATCAATGGTCAATAAAAATAGAAACTGAGTTGGTGGCACACTGTCCTGATCTTCACAAAGCCACAAATGAATTGAAAGTCATTTGTGACTGTTTAGAATCCAGCGGGTGCCTGGACTATGTCTAAAGAAAGGCAAATCTTCTGATCAAATGAAATGTTGGAAGGGTTCAAATAAAAACCCCGGTGGTGCTCCATTCCCTTTCAAGGTTCCATCCTAGAAACACAATCTAGAATCTACTTGGAATGCATTCTTTTTCTTTTCTAATTACTTATTGTTATTCTTTTCAAATTAAATTCATTGGGGTGACATAGGCTACTAAATGGGTGACTGAATGAAGAGTTACTCCCTTTACCTACAATAGTTACTCAATAATCATTTGGGGGTCTCTGTCTCTGTGCAGGGCATGGAGTTCAACTTCGTAAAGGTTGTATTTTAATTGACCTTCTTTAGGAAGTTGAACTCTACCCCCTGCACACAGAGAGTGCCCCAAAAAGTCTTATCAAGTAAATGCTGTAGGGAAAGGAATAACTCTTCACCTCTTATGCAAAGAATTAAAAAAAAAAAGTTGCTGAGAGCTTTGAAGAAGTTTGTGTGAGACCCATTTTAGAGCATTTGAAAAGCCTCAGTTCACCTCTGCCAGGAACTTGCAACCACTTTCTAGGAGCATGTGGGATTCCCAAGACAAAGTGTTTGCACTTCCATTTGCTGCAGCTAAAAGAATGGGCATGCTGCTGTGCCCTGAGCTGGACAGCACCAGAGGAACACAAGTGGTTGCTAGCCTGTGCTATGAGAAGCTAGGCAGTAGGAGAAAATGCAATTTGAGGTGTTGACAGTCTCTGCTTAGGCACTTACCCCAGGTGTTACTGTACATTCAGACACAACTGATTCCAGCCTTACTTTCTGATTGTTGCCTGCTGCAAAAGGGTTTTCTTGAAAAAAAAAAATGTTTTCATGAATTAAAATGTCCTAGAGGGAAACAGCTTGTGGGCAGAATCTGTTGTCTCAGTAATATTCCGTGGTTATGTTTAGTGTTTGGCACCGCTGCCCACCCTCCATGGGTAAGAATTGTTCTATTGAACAAGGGGCCATATTACAGCTGAAATTACATTTACATAACTCTAATAAATCTTTCTTCTAGTACAAAAATATAGAATGTGTGGGATAGCCTCCTTCAAACATCTGGTACCTTCTAAGACTTTATAGACTTTGAGAAGCAGAGGGGGAGACGGGGAAGAGGCTGTGAGTGTGGAAAGGCAAATGTGACACACAAGGCAGAAATTCTATTTTGTTCTCTAATGTTTTTCATTACTAGAATGTTATAGGGTGCTTATTACCTCAAGTATAAGGCAAAACTATCTCTATATTTCCATAAAAGTAAAACCTAAAGATGGTTTTGTCCAACATTGTAGCCTACTATTTCAGGCTATCCCAGTTAGTAAAACACTAATATTCTTCGTATATCAATTCAACTCACAATATTGAGGAAGATATGCACTTTTTTTTTTATCCTTGGAGAAATTTCATGTCGATAAATTAATTACAATCAACTGTGATAAAGTGTGAGGAAAATAGAAGTACCGGATGCTAAGTGTCTACTAAGCAGGGGGACTTACCCTCATGTGGAGGGCCAGGGAAGCCTGGCCTCCATAAGTATAGGATAAAATAGTGAATAAGACTTCATTGCATTAGTGTTGTCAAACATAATTGAAGTCAAATAGTCATAGCATATGTAATTGTTACAATATAGATATCAAATAGTCGCAAGTTCTGTGACAATTTCATGATCTGTCAGTGGCTCTTAAATATATGTTCACTAGAGGCCTGGTGCATGAAATATGTGCAGCTGTGGGGGGGGGGGTGTCCCTCAGCCTGACCTGTGCTCACTAGCAGTCCGGGACCCCTCTGGGGGTGTCTGCTGGATCGGGCCTAAGCCAGCAGTCAGACATCCCCCTCGCAGTTTGGGACCCCTCACTGCTTACCACCCACTAACCACCAGGGGGCAGCTCCTGGGTTAAACATCTGTCCCCTGGTGGTCAGTGCACATCATAGCGACCAGTCATTCTGGTCATTCTGCTGTAACTGTCGCTTAGGCTTTTATTATATAA